ATGTAGCGATACTAGATTGAGAATCATTTATGTTGGCAAACATGTGTTGAAAGAAATTAGATTGAATGGATCATGCGCAACATATGAAGTTCTCCTACATAAAATATACGTGACTGTATCAGAAAGTTCATTACCATTTGTCACGTAACGAAGATGAACAAAAATCAAGGTCAATCCTTGAAATATGTTGGATTGTATCTCCTGAGACCTATCTTCTCTCATGTCATGGACAACTCTACATTACAATTTTAAGAGTAAAGTCTATTAGCAACTTGAAGATTCTAATCCATAACAAAGATAACATATTATGGACTTCAATAACAAATCTAGTTTACAAAGAGATCATCTAAAATAGACAACTAGAAAGTCATTAGTTAAATGAATTTTTTTCATCCATTTGTTTGTCTCCATTTGTCAATGCTGCACTCTGGCAATAAATTTTGTTCTCCTAAATCCCACAAATCAAGCACTTCAGACATTTTGTTACATTACTCCATCTTTTTAAAGATTACTTATTCAATTGTCAACAAGTTAAATTAAATTAGTCTGAACTATATTGAAAGTATTTCTAGTTTTTATTCACAAACTTTTGTATGCAAGAAAATAACCATGCAATGCATAGGGATAATTGATAGTCACAAGTAAAAGAGAGAGGAGAATGGCAATTTTTGGTCTCTTGGCATGCCTACTCCAAGATAGGTAGGTAATTTCAAGAATTTTTATGTATGTTGTTTTCCATATGAATGTGCCATTGTTGACCAAAAGAGATGCGTGTGAATACATTATTTTAATTAATTAAAAAATAAGTTTTTTCATAAACAAGACCTCAACTAGAGGCCATGGAAAGCTTCAATGTCCTTATTCAAAATACAAAGTAGACTATTAGAAGGATAATTAATGCCATAATATCCCAACCCAAGGGAGAGGGCCCTTTGGGCAAGATAATTTTCCGCTTTATTAGCTACTCGAGGAAGATATCTAATATGGAGATCCTAAGGTTTTAGCTTGAAATCGCGGATCATATGAATGATGTCTGCATTAGCATGCATGGTCGTGTTAGGAGAGTAGACGAGATTAATAGCTTTTATAAAATCTGATTCCACTACGACTTTGTAAAAACCGTTATCCCATACAAGTCTAGTTCCAAGGAGAATACCTCAAAGTTCTATGGAAAGGCTGTCTCCTTCATTCATACAGTGGTTGAAACTGGTTATAAACATCTCATGGCAATCTCGAATAAGATCTTTGCATCCCTATTTCTGTAAGGCCTGAGAATATGCACCATCAACATTTACGATTACCCACTCATGATCTGGAGGTTTCCACTGTTGCTCTGCTTGACAAATTGGAGCACCTTTCACGTTCATCCCAGCCAACTTTTGTCTCATTACTGCCAGGGACTTGTAAATAGCATTAGCTTTAGCTAATATAATATTGTTAAAACTTTCCCTTTAAAAATCTGCATGTTAAGATACTTCCAAATAAACCAATAAAGAATCAAAAACATCATAGCCTAGTCTTCATAATTATCACTTCTACCCTTTCTTAGATTAATATCAAGCCATTCATCAAGGGGAAGCCTGAAAAAATTTGCCATTAGCTTATGGCCGATAATACTTCTCTAAAGTGCCTTCGTACTCAAGCAGTCCCTTAAAACATGTAATGCGTCTTCCCTAGTGAAATAGCATCCCCTGCATGTCTCCTCGTCTGTCATACCTCTTTTTCTCCTTTAACCATTAGTGAGGAGTTTATCATAGGCCACTAGCTAGATAAACATCTTGCACCTTTGTGGAACATGAAGCTTCCAAATCCTCTCCCAGTTACGACCGTTGACCCAACTTGGACCAACTTTAAAAAAGCAGACTTGACTGAAAAGTCACCGCTCTTGTCATGCACCCATTAAGCTTAGAGTCTACTATTCACGATTCCAAACCCGACTTAACATCCTCCTAGGTAGACTTAATGTCGATCCATAGATTGGACCCTCTTCATTTGGGATTGATGTGAGGGAGAAGGTCTTGTCTGCATTTATATTTCTCTCTCACCACATGCACCCGAAATGCATCTTTTTGCTTGATGAGGTTTCATTCGATTTTATCAGAAGAGCATTATTCTACAACCTTGCATGGCATAATCCTAGGCCACCATATTTCTTGGGTTGGCACACCTCCTTCCAGGCAACCAGATTCGTTTTACGTTGTTCAGCTATGCGGCCTACAGAAAGTTCCTGTTGATTTGGTCGAGACTATTGCATGTATTCACAGGAAGATGAGCTGTGTGCATGATGTATGCCGATATTGCAGACAAACTGATGATATTAATGAATGTCGACCGGCCAGAGACAGAATCATTGTTTTTTTATGTCGATAATCTAGTCTTGACTTTATCAACAACATCATGGAGGGTCTCCTTTCCCACTCTCTTATGATGAAGCAAAACCCCCAGGTATCTATCAAGATCAATAGTGTGGGTGACGCCAAGGAGTGAACTTATTTCCTCATGCCGCACATTGTGAACATTATTAGAGAAGTAGGTTCTAGTTTTTGCGGCATTAACCTTCATCCCTGAGCTTTTGCAAAACACTGACAGGCACTCTTTAATCATCACAGCTTGACACACTGAAACTTCAGCAAACAGTAAGATATCATCAGCAAAACAAAGGTGTGAGATAAGAGGGCCAGTCTTACCTAGTCAGATTGGTCTCCAGTTACCCTATTGGCAACATTACTGAATAAGGTGAGACAACTTTTCAATACTGAGAACGAAGAGGTACAGGGAGATTGGGTCTCCCTATCGAACTCCTCTAGTAGGTGTAAAGGAGTCGGTACGGCTACTATTCCACAATATTTGCATAGATGGAGAAGACAATGAGTATTCGATAATCTCAATAATCTTGTCCGGTAGTTGTATATCCTTGAGGCATGAGATGATAAAGTTCCAGTTCAGACGATCAAAGCTTTTTTTAAGTCGATTTTAATAGTCATGAAACCCTTTTTGCCCCCTATTTTACGCATAGAGTAGATAAGCTCTTGGGCCACTATGATGTTGTCTGAGCCGTGGCGCCCTGGTATAAAACTACATTGGTAAGGAGAAATGACTTTAGGGAGAATATATTTCATCCTAGTCGTAATAATCTAAGTAATAAGTTATTTATATTTAAACTACATAATGCATTAGAATTGTTGGTATTTTTTGTTTCATACTACACATTATATATTAATGCATTAGAACTGTTGGTGTTTTCTGTTTCATACTACACATTATATATTATATGCTACAAGATGAACTTTTGAAGCTCATTTTTTTTTGGAACATGAATGTACATATTTCCTTCGAAACATGATATAAGATATTGATAACTAATTTACAGTTTTCAAAAAATGTTAATTGAAACTTAAATTTCTTGAAAAAATTTACATCTTTTCAATTATATTTTTATTAAATATCCTATGTAAGTAGCTTGATATTGACAACTAAAATTTCAATGCATTTTTAAAAAAAAATAAATAAAGCCGGAGTATAGTTGAAAAAATAATTACAAAAATTACTCAATATCCTATATTTTGAATCAAGCAAAGCTTTTAAAAAATATTTTATATTGTAATTTAAAGGGAGTATTACAATACTACAATACAATGAGATAAAATGCCCTGTGAAAAATAAAAGGATATGGCATGTTAGATATTCAATTTTTATGTTTACTTTTCTGTCATAATTTGCTGTTAACTTACTGAATAAAAATTGAGGAATAAGTATAGCTAGAGGTAGGAATTCGGGCGAATCCTAGCTCAGCTTGAATAAACTTGACCTAAATAGGTCTAATTTTTTGAAAAGCCCAAAGAGCTAAGATAGGTCTGAATTCCTTTGGACTTTCGGTGGCCCAAGTACTCGAATTTTATATTTAAAATTATTTTTAATTAAATTTTTTACTATAAAATTAATTATTATATTTTATTAAAATATAAAATATATTTTTTTGGATACTTAAATAGTCTATAGGACTTAAATATATAATATTATAATATAAAATGACCTAAAACTTAAAATATTAACTAATATTTATTACATTTTATATATTTTTTTAAAGATATAATTTTTTTTATTTGGGTACATAAGCCCAAACAAAAAAAAATATTTTTTAAAACTCAATCCTAAATTTTTTTTAAATATGATAGGCTATCCATTATTTTAATTAAATTAACAAATTATAACCTTCTATCTCTCTAATAATTTGCTCGGGAGCACATTTAGTACTAATGACCCCTTGAAATAGTTTGGTTTTGAAATCTGGTCCTGATTAAACTATTTTTTAATTAAAATTTATAAGATTTAAAATGAATATATTTATTATTAACATGAATCATTTATATTTAATTAGATAAATTTAAATTTAATATTAATTTTTTTATAATTTTTGATAAATTAATCATATAGATTTAGTTTGTAATGTTTGAATTCAAAATTTTTAACTTGTTATACTTTTAAATTCAAAACAACTCAGAGTAAATATGTATCATCAATTTATAAAATTATAAAAAAATTAATATTAAATTTAGACTAATTTGATTAAATATAAATTGTACATATTAATAATAAATATATTTATTTTAAATTTTACTTTATCCATTAAAAAATATAAATATTTTTAACTAAATTTTATCCCAATAAAATAATTACTTATTTTTAAATTAATTCTATCTTTTCATATTTATCCTTATTAAATATTTATAATAAATATAAAATTATTTATTAATAGAAGTACTTTTAAAAAAATGATTACATCTCAAAAAATTAAAAATATTTTATATTTTTTTAACATTTAATTTTTTTAAAAAATATCTTATATTTTTTATTAGGAGAATTACAGATTTTTATTTGAAAAAAAAAAAAAAACTTCTGAGTGGTCCAGAGATTGTTTTCAATGATGAGCACTGAATGTGCTCCCTAGTCTGCGCCCTTTCTGTCTGTCTGGCTTAGGTATTTCCTCTTTCTAAAAACATGTCTCTCGCCCAATTTTGATTTTCTATTCCGATAGCGGATTTGAACACTCCGATTGTCCTGTGGTTTGATATACTCGAGTGGGTGTATTTTTTTCCGTCAATTTTCTCGGTCGATTTTCTTCTTTGGTACTCTTAGATAATTTGAATGCGATTTCTCCCTTAATTTGAGGTTTTCTAGTAGTCCTCGGTTAAACTTGATTGCCTGTCGACGTGTCGTTGGTAATAGCGATCATTCCATAGGAAAGCAATGATTTTCTTGTTAGTTCATCCATCGGCGTGTCTCGCCACCGGAGGAAAGGATCCTTTTCTTCCCGAATCGGAGGAACAATGTAAAGGCGAAATTGTCAGTTTGTGGCAGAGAACTTAACTCTTTTCCTGGAAGCAATTAAATTTGTTATGTTGTTCCCCCCCCCCCCCCAAAAAAAACGACAAAAGAAAAAAAAAATCAGTTTCTCGGTTGTTTTTCCCCACTTTTAACGTCGTGTTCATCATTTGGTGCTTGTAAGTAAATACTTGTTACTGCTGTATGAATCGCCTGAGTGACAGCTCTTACATATTTCTCATCTATTTTAGAGTCTTTCATTAGATTCTGCCTTACTTTTCATGTCAGAAAGACAAGTGTAAGCTGATTATTCTTTTTGCAGGGGCATCTGAATCAAAGAGGGAGGGTGCTGGTTTGCGGGGGCAGCGGGACTTCTGCGAGCTTAGAATCCTCTCTCGTTTATTGATCAAAGCACAGCATATGCTGTTGGAGGATCTTTTTCTCAACACTTGAATGTTGCACTATCTATTTTAGCTGATCAGTTGAAGAGGGAAGTATTTTAAGCTGAAGGGAGATAGAAGCTGGCATAATGGGTTCTGTTTGTTGTTGCTTGAGAGCTGATCAATTTGAAGATTATGTAAATCGAAATGGTTCTGTGTATAGGAATTGTGTGTGTCTCAATTGCTTCCTACAGAACTTTTTGAATGCGGTATGCCGTAGCCTCTTCTTACCTTTTCTAATACCTTTTGTCATCTATATTATTTGTTATTTGTCCATAATTTGATTTTGATGCCTTCCCTCATGACTCGAGACATTGCTGTTTATATGTAAGTCTTTGCTTGTGGAGCAGCATACTGGTTTATTGTAATTTCAGGTCCAGGCCTGAGGTTTTGCCAAGGTGTATATGTACATCCTTTATTCTGTTTCTTTTGTCTATAACTGACCATAATTTGATCTCAATGCCTTCCCTCATGACTTGAGATAGTGCTTTCATAGTATTTCTGTGCTTATGGAGTGGCATGTATGATTAACATAATTTCTGGTTCTTGCATGTGGTTTTTCTAAGCAAAGATTTACATTTGCATCCTTTAATCTTTTTTACATATAACTGAAGTACTTTTCTGGGGGATTGATCACATTTTCATCTTCATTGTTCTGGTCTTTTATCCCTCGAGTGTCATAAGCATGCCTCCTGATCCTCCAATATTTAGGGCTGTTTATGTGAGTGTTACAATTTTTAATTGACCCTTAAAATGAGTTACCTTTCACCAATATTTGGAGAGACAAGTTTGTCATCTTAACACCACAAACAAAATCAGATGGGAGCAACTTGTAATTTCCTATTACATGGTAAAAGTGAAGATTTTTTTTTTTTTTTTTGGGCTTCCATTAGTCTAATTTACTTGATATGCCGTTTGTAGAATATTTAAGCCCTGCAATAACTTTTCTGTATGATGTGTTCTGTTATTGATGAGTGCTCTAGTTGATGATATAAACATAACCTGATTCCTGTTGTATCAAATTTCAGTATTCAGCAATATTCCGCAGAGGCGAAGTGCATTCACTACCTTCATCCATACAGGGGGCAGCATCTATGACTTCTGCAGCATCACTCGATAATTCACTATCTGACATGTACCATTCTCCACCAAGGCCCTTGCCTTATGATGTAGACCCCAGGCATTTCCGCTCACGTCATTTATTTGTTTCAAGGCATGACAAAGGTTCTAGTCATTTGAATGAAGAGTCAGAACCTCTAAGAGGTGCTGTAGATGGGGATCAAGAATCCTTAAATTCTGGAGGCAAATGGAACGGATCTACTTGTGAAGATGCATCACAGGAATACAGATCTAAGTCCTCAGTAAGGTTCTCATCAGCAAAATATGCAACTGGAGCTGGGCTTGTTTATGCATCATTTGAAGATGAGGATCTTTGCCCAACTTGTCTTGAAGGTAGAAATGTCTTTTAATCTTGAATTTTCATCATACAACTGAAGTTGGGCTTGTTTATGCATAATCGGTTTGTTGATTGTGCAGCATGCAACATTAAGATAAGAGGAGCTTTTATGGTGCTTCATGTTTATACTGTTAATTTTTGTTCGCAGAATATACTGAAGAGAACCCAAGGATATTGACAAAGTGCAATCATCATTTTCATCTTAGTTGCATTTACGAGTGGATGGAGAGAAGTGAAAACTGTCCAGTTTGTGGGAAGGTAGCTTTTCCTCTTGATAATTTTTGATTTCTTTCTGACTGAAATGGTTGTCAATTCATCACCAATCAGCATATTATGTGCTGAAGTTTTCTGTGAAGCTTGATAATTGTAATTACTGAGCATGTTTGTTACCAGCTGCCTTTGTTCTCTTGTTACCAAGGCAGAAAAATAAATGGAATCTCAAGGCTGTCTTGACACCCTAATAGTTTACTTAGGATCCTACATTATCACACTCTATCCGATCTATTTTGTTGTCACTCATCATTAGCTTCTTTTAACTGCCTCTACTACTTTATTAGAGTTGTATGCAAGGATTTACTCGTGAATAATGGCATGTTTGGTAGAGTGGAATTGGGTTTGGGGAAGTGGAAGCGGAATTAAAAAAAAAATAAGGTGTTTGGTAGACAAGATCTCACTTCTTCATGGAACTTGGTTTCACCAAAAATGATGGAAGTGGGTTCCATCCCTATAGCCAAAGAACTCACTTCCACCCTCATTTCTTTTCTCATTTTCTTACTTCTACCCTCTAGCCTCTCTCCTTCCAGGTTCGACCAAGATTCTCCGCTGACAATGTCTGTTGACAGCCACATGGTGGAGGACCAAATTGGTGGCGAAGATGACTGCTGCAATTGGATCGGTGATGACCTCATCCCCTGGGACGATGACTGAACCTCATTTTTCCCTATACCTCACCCCTAGATTGAGCTCCCTCCATTATTCTCCCTGACATTAACAATTGCATTAGTCACCAAAAAGGTTGAAGGTTTTATCCCAAAAAGATATCTGTGTGTGTGCAACCCCTTCAAACCTAGTCTTGATTTTCAATGACGTTTTGCAATCCATGTAACCGACCCCACCCAATGGGATAAAGGCTTGTTGTTGTTGATTTGCTCCCTTTACTCCAAGGAACACCACTTCATTCCTAATTCGTGCTAAGAAATCTGGCAGTGTTGCGTTGCTGGTCTTGCTGGCAATTCCTTTGACATTGTTGTTGACGGGGTGGGGTGTTGATGGTGCTGTGTTGCTGGTCTTAGTGTCAACACCAGCGATTCGATGGAGGGTGTCGAAGGGTCTGATTCATTTGTTTTCTTTTTTTTTTTAATTTCATGGGTATTATGGTCTTTTCAAAATATAATTACATATATTAAATAAAATTTTTATTCCACCTCTATCAGTCTACCAAACATACTTTTAAATCTCAGTTCCACCTCCACTTTCACCTCAGAATTGGTTGGGAAGCTTCTATGATTGAGGCCAATTTGGTGATTTTGATATTGCATTCAATGTAGATGATGGCTTTTGCTTGTATGTGGAATTAGCTTGTCAGTTTTTCTATGGTTTTATTCTCAAAATTAGAATTCTTCCAGATTTAGGAAGAATTAGATTGCCAAGCTCTGTAAGCACCTGTGTTTAGAACTATCAAGTCAATTTCTCGTCAGCATTTGAAATTTTTGTTTACTGCCTGTACTTATCGTGGTGGTTGCCAAAATTGTCCAAAACATGATTCATGGTGCGTGGTTTGTCTCAATTTGGGAGTGAAATGACTGATTGTTGGTTGAATTGTTTGTGTTGGCATCGTCAGTTTGAACTGCAGCATGCAATTTATGTAGTAAACAGTAATTTGCGGCATTCTGACGACTCAGAATGCTTCAATTAGTTGGCTCACTAGGTCAAGTCCGTTCATGTTGCCACAACCCACAACACGAATAATACTAGGCAGTCTGTGCCTGTTGATGGTAGCATGCTTGAATAAGCAGTTTCCTTTTTATGAAGTCTTGTTCCTGATAGTATTATAGGATAGTCAAAGTCCCAATTTTATTCCTTTTGGGAGTGCTTATAGGAACGTTTCTAGGCCTACAATTAAATCCATAACGGAGCCAATTCTGAGAGTTGAGAGGTGAGAGTTAAGTTGAAAAGTTGAACTAACGAAAAGTGGGTGCTCACTCTGCTACAATTCGTTTGGCTCGCCATTTTCAATTATACAATTTTATGCGTGTGAATTTGCATTTACATATTTCTGTATTATATATTTACACTACCCATACAATCTTTTATGGTTTATTATATTATTTTGTATCGATCAATCTAATATTTGAGCCCAGCCTGGCTTGAGAGGATATATGGTTGAACATTTTCTGATACGTGAGCTTAAGTACTACACTAGAACCATGTTAATGGTTGAATGATATATGATGGACTGGTTATTTAATCATGTTTTGGCGTTGGTGTAGGTGATGGTATTCGATGAAACAACTTAATTTTGAACATAAAAGATTGTGATGTGGATGAAGCCTGTTACGGAGGAAAGTAGACATTGTGAATACTGCAGAGTGATTGTCATGTACAGTGTGAGTATACGAGTTTTCTTTACCATCTCTGTACGTTGAATCTCATCTTGAGATGTTTTTACATTTCATTCCTTCCCCTTCTGTCCAAATTTGGAAAAGGAAAATGCAATTTGAGATCTAAACTTCGTGATGCTTTCAAGAGTTTAGCCTTTGCAGCAGAAATGTACTTATTTCTGGGTCTTTGTGGTAACATGCTTACGAGTTTCAGGCCTATCATACTTTTGAGATGAGTTCGGTGGCCGAAGACTAGAATTAATCTGTTCACTATAACTAGATTGCATTGTTTGGTATTTGGTTGGGTTACTGCATCCTGCTAGTGTGCACCGAGTAAAACAGTAACTTATGTACTTTCTGGGTCACTAATTTCATTTATATAATTATGCCAGTAAGTTTTTGAATAAAATAGTTTCAAGATTTTAACAGTAGTTATTAAATTTAAAAATAAATTGGAGTTCAAATTTAAAATATAAATATTTAAATGAGATTAGACGGATATATATATATATATATATGTATTTCTTAAAACGTGTATAAATAATTGTAATTATTTTGAGACGTTAATTCGAACATGACCACCCATGAATTGAAGTGGCTACGATCCATCCATACTTCAGCTTTCTGTGCAACTATCTGTTCCGTTGCTAGAACTGGTGATGCTGGGGAGAAACTTAAGTCATTTTTTGTTCTTAATGTGATCAATTCTCGTTCAATTTCAACCTTCATTCCTTAGTTTGTAATGAAGCATACAGAGTACAGATACTGGCCTCTGTGTACAATTTTTCTTCTCAATACAATTAAGATTGTCTCAGAATCGTACTTAATTGAAAAAAAAAAAGAAAAGAAAAAGGGGGGGATTGTTCTTAATTACTTGCTTTGACCTTCTAAACTCTTCCTGTTCAAACTGCCATACGTCTGTGTTTTACTTTGATATGGTGAGCGTGTTTCATGTACACTAATGGCAATCACTATAACTTCTAGATAAAGGGAACCGAAGCTTAACAACGAGATGCAGAGATCAAGGACTGCGTTTGGAGTCAAATAGCAGAGCCAATGTTGGTCAGTTTATTATTACTGTTTAGGAATAAACGTAACCAAGTGAGATGAGATATATAAAAGGCGTCGCATTATTTCTTTTGACACATGTTTATATGGGCTTCCACCTTATTCAGAAGCATCATTTTTTTTTTTTGGTCAATAGAAACAGAAAAATCATGCATTCACTGAAGGAAAAGAAAAAAAAAAAAAAAACACATACAAAACGATCATAAAGCTGGAGTGGCTCATTATCTTTCATCATTTATCTTCATCTAGTCAGAGAGTTGGGGAATGATCATAGTTACAAAAAAAACTTTAATGCAATAAAGACGGAGACTTTCATCAGAACTCAGAAGCATAAACATGGAGATGCGATAAACTTCACTCCTCAAATTCAAAAGCTTTCACGAACACCTCAGGGGGCTGAGCACCATCAATTTTGCGACTTCCAGTCATTGCCAGTTCATTGAATGAATCAATATGCTTGATGGGTTCTGAGCACATTCTGAAATTGAAACATTTTAAGCAATAATTAATACTAACTCCAATTTAATCCACCACCACCTAATATGGAAACCCCTCTGTCGTTTCCTCTATTAAGCTCATCCTGAACCTGGCGAGAGTCGAAAACTCAGTGCTATTAAACCTGTTTAATTGCCTGACAACTAAACAGTTTCAAGGTAAGCATGAAGAATGTACATCCATTCAAATTCCACGGAGAGCAGTAAATTCAAGCAACCATTTGAAACCAAAATGCTGCATGAAGGAGTATTCATGTGTAAGTGAAAAATACCTCCCTGAGGCCATTGTTGGGTTCTTGAAGAACCTCTGCTGCCCCTTCCAACCCAACTTTCTCAGCACATTCCAAAAGAAAATTACTGCAACCAAATCACAATAATGCCTCACTTACGAAACCAGATACAAAGACAAATATCATTATGTAAAAATTGAAGATATATTTTACTACCAATGAATCCCAAAGCGACACATAAGTTGATATAAAGTTGCATTGTAACATTGTTCATGTCTCATGAGTAATACAACTTTCTATAACACATAAATAAGGTTAGTTGCATGTTCACACTGAGCATTCATCTCCCACGTCACTCTTGGATACGGCTCCTTTACATACAGCACACAATCTTTATAGAAGTCAGCCAGCAGTGACATGCACCAAAGTACTCACTGGTCACCAATGTATTTTCCCTGTGTGAAGTAACCAAGGCCCGATTCTTCAACAAGATGATGTTGTTTGTCTGAGCCCTGCAGTCCTGCAAAATATATAAGCCTATGACTGTGCATTGTGTTCCCCCTGTGGATGAAAAAGACTTTCTTAGTTGAATCCAACCAGAATATGCTTATTTTCCATTGAAGAAATTAAGGTAGAGCACTCTCAAGCTTACGTCAGCCCAGACATGTTACATTGGAGGCCCACGCTCCCAAAAACCTGGAAACACCAAATTTGGAATAATATCTTGCTCTACTCATTTCATCAGAAATACAGGTAGTAACAGCAATAAAGCAATGAATTTGATTCAGAAAGAAAAACCTCTGACATCCGAGCTTCCATCTGTTCTGATTGAGATCCAAATTTCCCTCTGTAATACTCTCTCTTGTCAACGCCTTCTTTAGGGGCAGCAGGGTTAAGTTGATAAGGATGCCATTTTATGTGTAATTTGAAGCCATCATTTTAATGAGCAACGTATATGCCAGAGATGTTTGGATACAAGAAAAACACATACAAGCACAGAGAGAGCGTAGAACCTCGAAGTTGTATCTGTCCTTAGAGGAATCTATGGCTTTATCTAGATTTCTCTTGCCAAAGAAGCACCATGGGCATACATTATCAGCACTAATATCAATTTTAGCGAGCTTCTTCTCAGGGGTGGAACTGGAAGTGTTAGGCACGGTCCTGCTGTGTAAAATCTGCTGTCTCAGTAAACAAACATCACTAGATTCAGCGATGAGGAAGATGATAAATACGCAATATGTCAGCTAGAATAGTTCAAAACTACAAACAAGAAGTGCCTGTAATTGAATGCCAAGAGTGTATGCAAAAAAAAGGGATTAAACTTGAATGTATAGTTGTATACCCGGCAGGCTGCGAGTTTTGGGAGATCAGTGAGACAGAAGAACGCTTATAGAATTCATTATCGAAGATGAAGAGTAATAGTTTGATCTATTCAATTTTATTTAGAAAGATGATCGAAAGACAAAGAAAGCATAAGCCTCCGCCATAGTTCACGCTGATGGGAAAACTAGAATGCTTGCAAATATGGAGATGCAGTAAAACAAGATCCACCCAAATTAGAATATTCAATGCCTTCTCCGATCCTCAGATCGTTACTCATTCGTTCACCAAAAACAGAAAAAAGGAGTCCAATTCAACCATTTCCCATACATAATCTCTTCTCTTTTTTCTTTTTCATAAATTTTATATAATATAGTTAATATTGATTTCGGCCATACATGTATGAGAAATCTAAAATTATAGGACCCCTTTTTTTTGACCAAATATAGGACCCCTTTTTGAAAATGTCCTAAATTTTCTTGGGTGTCCACTTGAACAGGAAACCAGCTATAAGATAGTACAAACTCACCTCAAACATCTTATAGTGTATTAAAAAATGCCTAATTACATGGAAAAAGTAGGAAGAATTATGTGCGCGTATTTGTAGGGAAATCTGATGTTCATATTTTTATAATACCATATGGAGCTTTCACCAAAATATTATATTTTATGCAGTAAGTGAAGACTAAAACCCCAACACTTGATGGTACATGCTAACACAACACAATATTATCGGTTTCAATTTCGAATACCAAGACAAGAAACATGGAGGGATCCAAAATAGAGCACATGATCTTCTTAATTGGAAGAGTTTGCAGACAGTATAATATTGCAATGTTTTTGCAGCGTCTCATGTATCTTTATTCAGCAGCAGCACTGTACAACTTGAAGATGTGGCACACTCTACTCTTGATATCAAAAGCTTTCATGAAGAGTTCAGGGGGCTGAGCGCCACTAACTTTGCAACTTCCATTGATCTGTCAAAAAATTAAAGGAATCAATATTCTGAATAACCCAGAAAAAACAAATGGAATTTTATACACTCACCACATAGAATGGAACCCCTCTGACGTTTCCGGAGGGTGTATTGAGCTCATCCTCAACCTAGTCAGGGTCAATCACAAACAGCAGTCATATCATTTGCTTTAGTTAACTGCCAACTATTATAAAGAAAACAAGTTGAGTTCAGAACAACTGCATAAGAAATTCAAATTTAATGCAGTTGAAAATCATCAATCATTCTATCTAATTAATTTGTAGCGAACAGCAGTATGTGTAAGTTTTTGTTCTGGCGACGGCATTCATAAGTTGTAATTAACGTGATTTACGTGAGGCTTGATATATAGCAAACGCTGTCATTTGAAACCAAATGCATCATGAAGGAATCAGCCTACTGATACATATGTTATATGAAAAGTACCTCCTTGAGCCCATTGTTGGGCTCTTGAAGAAACTCAGCTGCCCCTTCTAAGTTCACCTTCTTGGCACATTCCAGAAGAAAATCACTACAACCAAGCGACAAAATGAATGAATGATTATGCCTACCATTTAAGGTTTGTTGGGATTAAGGAAAACAACGGATACAGGACAAGGAGTGGAGATGTCTATATTAAAATTCCCCTTCCTTACACTCCTCTGTTCTCATCAATCCAAATGTACCTTCAAGGAACCATATTGAAAGAAAAGTAGAGCCACTCTTAATCACAACATACAAAGCACACAAGCTTTAAAGAAGTCAGTTTGTGGTATTAACTCTCTCCCGTAGCAGTGACACATAAAGAAAACATGTTTAGATGAATCCACCATCCATCAAAAATAAAAACAATGCAGTATCTGATAGTATGACAACATATATTTGAAACAAAAATGAGGGGAACATGCACCAGATGTACTTACTAGTCACCAATGTATTTTCCCTGTGTGAAGTAGCCCAGAAACAATTCTTCTACCAGGCGATGTTGCTTCTCAGAGCCCTGCTGTCCAGCAAAATATATAAGCCTATGGCTATCTAAGTGTTTTCCCCTGTCATGACAGTGTTAGCCGAATCTCAACCAAAAAAAAAAAAACACTTGTTGTCCATTGAAAAAAATGCTAAATTAAACCACTCTCCAGCTTACGTTAATCCAGACATATTATATTCCAGGCCTACTTTCCCAAAAACCTGCAAATGCCATTTGTTAAAGGGACTAGTTCACGTGAATAATAGACAATAAATAGAAACAAAATAACACGCGTGACCGAATAAGGTACTATGCCCACAAAAACAAAAGCAAAAGAACCTCTGACATCCGAGCTTCCATCTGTTCGGATCGAGATCCGAACTTTCTTCTGTAATAGTCTCTCTTGTCAACACCTTCTTTGGGGCGTCTGGGTCGAGTTGATAAGGATGCCATTTTATCTGTAACATTGAGTTAACAA